AGCCATCCCAGCTCTGGGGAAGATGCCACCACTGACAAGGATCTCTGAACCACAGCTCCCAGCCCAGCTGAGTCCTGCCCAGATGCCACTGCCCCATAGGTGACAGGATGGGGGGGCACCGCATGCTGGAAACGTGCACCCCTGCTCCATCCTGAAGGGCACCGAATACCAGGCGATCCTGCTCACACGGGACGCAGCTCAGTAAAGCGACCTCGCACTCAGTACAGTCGCAGTCCATCAGAAGTCACTGTTTCAATGCTGAGTTTTACAATACTTGATGTGCAAATTAATGGCCCAGGCAAAGGACAACAGGGCCCTTGGCTCACAAAATTATAGCAAATTTCTATCCGTCCAAGCTGGGGAAAACCTGATGCCAGTCCCCAGAGTGCTGAAAAAGCCCAGGGACTCCCAAGGCTGGCTGCATGAGAGCTCCCTGAATTCCATGGGTTTTTAAGCAGCCCTTGGGGTTGTTTTGAGCGCCTGTTGAGAACCCTGCAAGCAGCTCCTGAGCATAAGCTCTGCTCTCTCCTGCAGACCTGGCACACGTGTAGTAGGCTCTGATTTACTCCCTGGGCTCAGCCACCCCAGAGGGAGCAGATTTATCAGGCAGGACTGGGAATAAAGATAACAGCATTGGTGATGATTCCTTATGCCAAATTGCTCACCACACACTGGGAGGTGGCATCCAGCACAAGATACCTACAAGGTTTTATAGAATAAATACAACCTGCTTCAATTTATACAAGCCATCTCTGCGGAAACATTAAAAACCTAACAGTATGGCACTAACAGGGGGGAAACAGGAGGAGCCAGGATATCCGAATTGCCTTGCCAAGGAGGATGCAGCCTGCTGGAGGCACTGCATATGGAATGCACGAAGGCAGCACAGGCACCCTCGCCCACCGGCGGGTCCCTCGCCCACCGGATGTAGCAGCTTCAGCATGACGACATTGTGTTGCTGGAATGTGTCCAGAGAAGCTGGGGAGGGGTCTGGAGCCCAAGGCTGATGGGGAGCAGTTGAGGGACCAGGGGGTGTTCAGCCTGGAGAAGAAGAGGCTGAGGGGAGTCCTTATCACTCCCTACGACTGCTTGAGAGGAGGGGGAAGCTGGGTGTGTGTATGTGTCAGGCTCTGCTCCCAGGGAATGGGCAATGGGACAAGGGGAAATGGCCTCAAGTTGTGCCAGGGCAGGTTTAGATTGGACATTAGGAAAATTTTTTTCAATTAAAGGGTTGTCAAGCACTGGAAGGGGCTGCCCAGGGAAGTGGTAGAGTCCCCATCCCTGGGGGTATTTAGAAGCTGGGCAGATGAGGTGCTTAGGGCCAGGGTTTAGTGGTGGATGGCAGGGTTAGGGTAACGGTTGGGCTTGATGATCTTAAGGGGCTTTTCCAACCCAGACAATTCTATGATTCTGCAAAGCCGGTACAATGTGCTTTATCTGCTCAAGGCTTGCCATCCCCAATCCTTCGACAGCAGCACCGAGAAGTAAGATGCTCAGAGGCAGAGATGATTTCTAAATCTGCTTGGGTGGTTGCAAGCTATTTCAAGTTGGGCTGCCTTTGGCAGTGTTTTCAGGGCCGGGGGGGGAAGCTTTCTTGTGGTTTTTCCTTCAGCTGACCGTTTCCCCAGCCCTCCTTTTCTGTACGCCCCAAGGAAAAGGCAACGAAAATCTTTAAGGAAAATAATTTCCAAAGCTCAGAGATTAAGAGGTCCTATTAGACTAATTTTTAGGAGAGCATGGGATGCAGGGAAAAGAAAGCTTAAGCTAGACAAACTATAGTGGAAAAATGGATCTATTAAAGCAGTGGATGCTATCAGGGAAGTGAGCGATTTCCTGCAAACCAGCATAGCCAGGCGCATTTCTGCTAAAGCAGATCCATCTTGACTTCTCCGCAGCTTCCCCCTCTACCTGCCCGGCTCCTGGCAGCCCTGCTCGACAGCTCTAATGGTGCCATTCACTTTATTGACCTATTAGCTGCCACCTGCTCGGGACGAAGCCACGGCAGATTTGCCATTGTGTAAGCAGCAGCAGCAAACATAAAACCCTAAATAAATTTTCTGAGGCCGGGGAGCGGTATAATTAATCACAGGGTCTTTCACAAGACGGCAGCAGCAGTGAGGAGGCAGGCGGGGGAACACAGAAGGCAAGGCTGCGGGATGGGAGACGTCAGGGCCCCCTTCTGCTGCCTGTCCCTGCCCTGCCCTGCCCGAGGTGACACAGGAGCCGAGGATCACGGGGCAAAGCAGCGTCTGGAGTCAAATTTGAATTGAGGTCAAATTCCATTTCACCACCCACCCATTTCATGCCCCCAACCAAGCGACCATCTCCCCAGCATGCTTCATCCTTGATCAGCAGATAAGTAGCACTCACTGCCAGCATTTGCAGAGGTGTAAAGTTAAGCCTGCTCCAAGCCCACTCCCTGCCACACTGAACTTGCATCTTCCCTTTCCCACATTACCCCCAAATCTGGCCAGACCTGCTGGCACAGAGCAAGAGCAGAGAGAGAGACGTCAAAGGAAGAAACAGAAGGAAAAGCTTTAAACAGCCCTAACAAGTTCCCTCCAGCTCCTCACCCGGCAAAGGCACAGATCTCAGTCCTCCCTCCCTCCTTCATCTCCCAGCCATCGCATCTCTTCGCTCCCCTCCGAATGCTCTCCCATGGGATTCTGGTTCCTGCTGCCTGCCCCACGGCTGAATCACTGCCTGAAGGCACACGAAGTCTGCTGACTGCTCAGGGCAAAAATAGGAGGCCCCAAGTTCTGCTGAGTTTAGGAGAGAGCACATCCCCATGCCAGCGTGCCCTGCTGCCTGGCAGCAAGCCTCTCCCTCGACAGCCTGCCCCCCGTTCATCAGCAGAAGCAACTGGAATAGCTTAGCAAGAGAAACCTCACACTGTTCCCGCTTCAGGAAGTTGTTGAGGACGCTTGGGGTCACTTGGACTCACCAGGACGCCAGAAATGGCAAATTGGGAGCCAGCAGGACTTCTCCAGAGGGAGCTGACAGATGCCTTGGCCGAGGTCTCTGCTCCTCCTGTCTTGCGTCCTCCCTAATCCAACACCTCGAAGGCGTCCTGCTCCTCCAGAGGGGCACTGCCCTCGTCTGTAGGGACAGAGACAAGAGAAGAGTTTTTGTTTCCTGCCATTGATCAGCAGCTGCATGAGACTATAAAGCACAAGCCCCAAGGGCTATGGTAGGATTGAAGTGTCAGCGTTCACCCTGAGATCACACCACCCGAGACATGCCTCTTCTTCCTCCCTTACTTCAGCCCCGCTCCCTGCTCTCCCCGGATGGCTGCCATCCCTCCTGCTCTGTGTAGCTCCTGTCCCTCTGGGCAACACCAAAGCCCTCCTCAGAAAGGAAAAAAAATATATATTTTTTGAGCCATATATACATATATATATGAGCCATGCTTTTAATATTTCATCTTTCTTTTTCTGCCAGAAGAAAGTAAATTCCTTACGCCAACTGGGCTGCAGCCTCACCACCACATCTCTGCCTCAGACAGCCCTGGCTGCCAGCCCCTCCAGGCAGATGGCGAATGCAGGGCTCAGATCCCCTCTGCACAACCCCTTCTTTCTGCTCCTGCCCCCCCCAGCAGCAGCCAGGCGCTGGGGTGGCCACGGGGTCGGTGGCAGAGGGAGGGGACAGGGCACCGAGGGGCTGGGCAGGCTGCCCAGGAACTGCAAAATTCAAGACAGATCCAAGATGTTGCAGAGGAGCCCTGCATCCAGCTCCACAGGGCCACCCAGACACCTCAATGGACCTGCTCCAGTGGAAGAACTTGTTTGGGAAAGGTGACAGGTCAGCAGCCACCAGGTTGTCCTGAGTGACATCTGTCAATCACCGCCATCAAGCGCTGTCTCAAAGCCAGCCACCATCCCACCCACACACAAACTATCCATCAAGCGTTGCCTGTGCCAAGCCGGTTTTTATTTTAAATTTAATGTCTGTAAAGGATTTTGGCTTTAAATTATTCTGCAGACTCACTCAGTTCGGCAGTGCTTCCCCGTCTAGACAGAACAATCTTCTTGTCACCGAAACAGATTTGCCCTGACATCCCCGTGGCACGTGGTGATGCGGTTACTATTTTGGAGAAAGGAAGCGAGCTAAAAAGCTCTTTTTCTTACAGTTTTGTAATGTGATTCCCATCCGTTCGACTTCAAACGCACACCTCAATAAATAGTCCTGCCGCATTGGATTTGATTGCTCTCCCTCTGTTAGGAAGCAGCATGCATGGAGAAAGGGGGAATGGCTCAGCATCCATGGGATCCAACGTGTCCAAGCGCTGCTCACAGCATGCCTGCCCTGCTGGAAAGGAGGGATTCTCTCCTCTCCTGCTGGGGCTTTTAAACCCACTTGCTCCAGCTCCCTCCTCCAGGCTGCAGACTGAGGACTGGAGTTTGGAAATCTCATGGTACCCCTCTGTCTCACCGAGGTCCCTGCTCCCAAATGCAGACCTGCCTGGTCCTCCACGGCGGCGGGACGAGCCTGGGATGGCCGGCAGGGAGATGCAGGAGAGGCATCAGCAGCCTGAAAGAGACATTAAACCACATCAAAGTACGTTTTGCACATCAGCTTCACCCCCAGGTCTCTAAGTCTCTCGCGCACTGGCAATCGCTTCCTTTGTAATTAAGCAAGGACTTCTCCTCCTTGTGAAAAGCCTGCACAGAGGAAAGGTAAATCAGGGCAGGCGTTTGGCAATGCTTTGTGTCTGCTCAGCCCCGCTGCAGCCCGTGGTACCTGGAGAGGGAAAACAGCCTGATCAAACCAAAAACCAGTATTTTTCCCCTTTTGCTCTGCCAGTGACAGATCCTCGATGTCTGCAGTCAGAAGTGACAAATACCAGTTGGGGATCTTGTCACCTCCTCTTCTGATAACACAGCCACCTGCGTTGGACCACAGTCCGACCCGCGGCATGGCAGCAGGAGGTGATCTCCGCTTTGAGCGAGGCATCCCCCACCCGGGCATCGCCCTGTGGAAACGCACGGCCCCCAGAACTGAGCCCAGAGGACACTGGACACACACAGGCAATGACACAGGAACAGAGGGGTCCCCCATTGCAGCAAGTTGAAGGCCAAGGACAGCCCCAAGAATGCTTCTCGAGGTGCCTGTGGCAAGGTGGGGATGGAGAAGAGTCCGAGTGCGCCAAGGGGCACATCTACAGGGTAGCAAAGGGCCGTACTACACAGCTGCTGTCATTCCCCAAATGCTACAGACCTCCAGGAGCTGCCCGGTTCGAAGCAGCACACCTGCATTAACATTTAATCCCAGTGCTAGAGCATCATGCAATAAATCAGCTGCAAATGCTCGACATGGAGAAAGAAATGCTTGTCTCTAAATATTCAAGCAGAAAAATGCCTCTATATATTCAAATAGGGAACATGAAGTCAGGAAGCAAGGACGACTTGCTTTTTGCACAGGCGCCACCATCCAGCAGCATCACGGGAGGAGCTACACAAGGAAGAGAGCTGGCCCAGGCCACCTCTGCACACCAATTTCCCACCTCTCCACATGATTTATGACCTCATGGATTCATCCCCGTTCTGACCTCCACAGAGATATCAACCCACTCACGGGAGCAATCAGAAATCTCCCCACCCTGGGAGCAAGCTGGCTCTGCCCTTTAGGAAAACCCTGCCTGCTTCTGCACCAGAGCCAGGGAAGCCGCTCCTCTGGAGCGGCCACCAGCACGTCCACCACCAAGCCAGGAACCACGGTGCAGCAAATGGCCCAGGGATCCAGAGAGGCAAAGCAGAGTGGTGGCGAGGATTTCACCATCCAAGAGATCAGGCTGTGCAGAATCAGACCAAAGGATGGACCGTACCAAGGATAATAGCACCAGGAAAGTACAGGGAGTCACGTAGGGACAGTGGCCCTATCCCCAGATGCATTGAGACCCTCTCACACAAGATGCTCCACAAGCGCATAACCTGATGCCCGTAGCCAGCTGGAGGATGTCCCACAGCAGCAAGTTCCACCTTGTGCCTCCTCCTTTACCCCACAGTACTATTTTATCAGCTCATTAATTCACTGAGAAGGTTTTGCCCCTGGGCTGGGGGACCAGCAATTGCTCCTGCGATCAAACCAGTATCTCGAGCACGGGCTCTCTGTTGATGGAGGACTGACCCAGCTTTCTGGGAAGGCACCTTCGCTCCTCACCCGCGCAGGCACCAGCCCTGTTGATGCCCAGACACATGACAAATGGAGCTCTGGCTCCAGCGGCGTGCTTACCGTCCTGGGACGGAGAGTGTTAATGCATGGGCTGAACCGGGGGCAGGGAAGTGAAGCCCTGAAAAATGATGCGCGCAACGCCTCATTATCACTTCCTTAATAGCCCTGAAATTGCTATGAGGGCCCCCGTCATTTCTCCTCCCCCTGGGCCATAAGGAGCCATTCCCATCTGTCTCAGCAGAAGGGCCTGGCTTCCTCACCAGAGCTGCTGGCCATCCAAGCGGACAGGGCACCTCCACACTTGGAGCCAGTGTCTCCACACCCGCCGTTCCCAAGAGGAACCGTAGAGGAGCGGCCGCGCTGGCCGGGCTCAGCACATCTGCTCTAAATCAACTGACTCCAGGAGGGGCCACTTGGCATCAGGCATCCAAATTTTACTCCTACAACCTGCTACTGCCCTCCATGGCAGACCATGCCTCAGTTTCCCTGACTGTATGAAAGGGTTGTAACATCTCCCACACACCTCGGTAAAGATCTTGTGCTTCTATTTTTTGTCAGAGCTTTACCTATAGGTTTTGGGGGCAGTTTCAGCCAGTTGAGAGGTGCTGACAGCACCACCAAGAACACCCAACCTCTGGGCTGCAGCCCCACTCAGGTGTATTTTCAAGCCAAAGTCAGAGCATCATCCTGGATGTCCTTATGCTCTCCAGTGGGAGAGGGGTGTGGGCACCGGCCACCCGCCTCCGGCAGTGTCTCCCACACACACCGAACAGCCCCG